GTGTGTGCTATTGATAACCATAACTGGTCCTTCGGGGTAGGTTATTGACGGCTAGTTGTAGGGAGATTTTATGGTATGACTTGGGTTGTGTAGGAGAAATGTATATATACATACTGAATTTCTTATCACTGCATACTATACCTGCAACTTAATTTTTATCGTATTGAGTTATGTGAACTCACTTCTTATCATTAACAGATGAAGTAGGGATGGAGTCGGGATCTGAGTTGCTGGTTACGGAGCCTAGTCTTTAGCGTCATAGGGCAAAAGTTTTCTTTGTGGCAGGTTTTAGTCTGTAAAAGTTTATTTTAATATGGATACTGATTGCTGGAAATGTATGATATGGTTTTGTCATGTGATGTATATGTAGAATTGTAAGTTTACATTGAATTTGAACAATGAATTGTGGACAAGTTTCTTTTATGTGTGATTAAATTGGCATGGAATTTGCGTGTTAGGTCATGGGATTGTTTTATCTTACGCCGTTGGAAGAAAAAAAAAACAGAGCGTTACATGAACACACTACGAAAACTTCAATACCTATTCATCACTTATCAAGGGATCCACAGAACAATGAGAAAAATGATGAAGGAAATTAACATAATCCTTTTTTTTTCATCTTCATTCAAATTTCTTATAAGCCCCACATGAACTGTTATGCCCATAAGCCAAGACCAGTTTATTGGTGAAGTATAAAGGGAAGTATAAGATAGAAGAGAAAACACAAGCAATGGAGAGCCAGTTGATTTTTGCCTCTCCTTAGGATCCTAGGACAGTTGGCTGTATAAGAGGAATTCCATTAAATTCTTCTCCTCAGGATCTCCACATGGTTCCATGTATAAGAGTAATTCACTTTTATCTTTCTCTTCTGCTTTAACATTAAAATAGAACCCTACAGTTAAAAGTTGACTAGAATATAATCATAAAAATTGCAGAAGCAATGAGCCTATAAATATCTTTCTACATAATGAAGAGCAGCAGGTACTTATTCTAAATTAAAGTTATTCTGTAGAGATCGTGAGTTCTCTCCAACGAATCCAGCCATGGGACAAAATAATTCTAAATTTAATAAGCAAGCAGTTGGCCGAGCTAAGCTTACTTTAATTAGGCCCTTGCAGTTTGCCATCATTTCTTACCATCATCTGAAAAAGAACTCATTGGCTTACCGCAAGAAATGGAAATTTTCATTAATGGGTTGAAGGAGTATATTGCAGTGAAGTGGGATTGCAACACCCGCAGGACTTAATCACTGCCACGAATTTGGCGCACTGTTATGAATGGAGGGTAATAGACAAGCGAAGTTTGCTGCGTAAAACAGTCCCCCCAGCTTCGTTCCTATTAATTCAGGTTGTGTAATAGTTCCAGAACAGCAGTAGCCCCCTCACAACTGCCCTAATAGGGTCCTTCCACCTTCTGTAAAGAGGATGTTGGTACAGGAAATTGAGGCACCAACATGCCCAGTGTTAATGGTGATGAAAAATTGCATCCAGGGTACCGATATAAAAGGCTCTTTTGATTGGAAGTAGATGAGCGGAAGTGGCGGATGAAGTTGTGGCGGAAATTAAATCGGATTGCTCAACTGAAAATATGGGGGGAAGCCGATATTCCTTTACATGCTATGTTGGAGTTCACTTCAGCAAGAATGAAGGTAAGGGACTTATTATAACATTCCAATTACAGTATTAATTGATTGTGGTCGTAACCATAGGTTTTTATGTAAATTTGGCCAAGATACTAAATCAGCCCATTTTTCATCAAGTTTCCCTTAAAATTGTGGTTGTCAATAATGAGAAAATTCCCAGCAATAGTCCATATCAAGCTGTCTCTTGGAAATTGTGTAAAATAGCGTTTTCTCTGGATTTCATTCCCATTTTATTTTCTGGATTTCATGTGGTTTTGGCAGTTAATGGATTGAGAATTTTAAAACCTATTATTTGGGATTTCAAGTATATGAAGATGAGTTATGCCTTCTTGGTTGCAAATATTACTTTGCATGGAATTCCAGAGTCTTCTTCTCAAATGGCTTCTAGAATTCTTACATCAGTTAAAGATGGGGATCAATCTGCCTCTTTAAATCAAATGCTGGTTGAGTTTGATTGTCTCTTTCAAAAACCACAAGAATTGTCTCTGGAAAGAACATTTGACCACCGATTATACTGTTGTCAGATACTTCTCTACTGGTGGTAACCCCCTATTTTTACCCCACTTTCAAAAAGATGAGATTGAAGATAAATGTTCCACAACGCTTCAACAAGGAATTATCAGGCTTAGTCAATTTCCTTTTTCCTCTCCGATGCTGTTAGTGTGAAAGGTGGACTATACTTGGAGATTTTATGTGGATCATAGGGCTCTCAATGCTAAAACAGTCATAGATAAATTTCTTATTCCTGTGTCATTAAGAAGTTGTTACAGGAGTTGTATGGAGCCTCTTACTTGTCCAAGTTGAATCTTTGCTCAGGTTATCATCAAACCCGTATGGCAACCAATGACATTGAAAAAACTGCATTCAGGACTCATCATGATCACTTTGAATTTTTTGTACTGTCTTTTTGTCTCACCAATGCACCTTCTACTTTCCAATCTTCAATGAATCACATTTTTCAACATTATTTACGGAAGTTTATGTTAGTTTTCTTCGATGACATCCTCATTTGTGTGAAGTCTTGGGTTGAGCATCTCCAACATCTTCGCACTGTTTTCAACATTCTCCAAAATCCAGGTGTACTTTTGCTCAAGTCTCAGTGGCTTAGCTAAGTCACACCATTTCCCAAGAAGGTGTGGTAGGTGATCAAGAGAAAATTGAGGCCACGAAAGAGGGAATCTCCTCACTTCTATGAAGGCTTTAAGGAGATTCTTGGGTTAAACAGCATATTAATGCAAGTTTGTTAAAGAATATGGTGTTCTAGCTGCTCCTCTCACTAATATGTTGAAGAAACATGCCTTTGTATGGCCAGATGCTAGTCTACAAACTTTTGATGCATGCTGGCACTTACAGATTTTAGCCAATCCTTTATTGTTGAGTGTGATGCTTCTGATCTTGGCATTGGCACAGTGTTATAACAAGTCCAAGCCTATAGCTTTTTTCAGCCGTCCTTTGGCTTCGAGCTTACGAGAAAAAACTAATATGGTTGGCCAAGACAGTGAAGCATTGGAGACCTTATTGTGGGAGTAACAATTCTGCATCAGAACTGACCATTGCAGTCTCAAGCTTTACCAGAACAGCCAATCCTCAATTCTCCCCAGCAACATTGGATTAGTAAACTCTTGGGGAGTTGAATTTGTTGTTGAATATCATGTAGGAAAAGAGAATGTGGTGGCTAATACATTTCCAAGGCAATTTGACATGGCTCCTATATGTCATGCTTTCTCCGTCCTCTCTCTTGATTGCTTTGACAGCAGCCTCTAAGAGGTCAAAAATTCCACCTCTATGCAGCAACTCGTTCTTCAGATTCTACAAGGGGAATTGGATGACCATTGGTAAGTTCAAGATGGCTTGATTTTCTACAAAGATAAGGTTTTTTTTCCATCTGAACCTACTCTATGTGCTTTACTTCTTAATGCAATCCATAATGAATTCCATGAAGGCTATCAAAAAACACTTCGACAGCTTTCTATGGATTTCTTTTAGAAGGGAATAAAATATCAAGTCAGAGATTCTGTTCGCTATTGTTTGGTTTGCCAATGAAATCAAGTGGAACACTTGCACCCTGCTAAGTTGTCGCAACCATTACCAATTCCTTCCCAAGTGATGGCGGATATTTCTTTAGACTTTGTGAAAGGTTTTCCAACTTCTAAGAAAAAAAGTTGTTTTGTTTTTGGTGGATAGGTTCTCCTAGAATGCCCATTTTGTTCCTATCCCCCATCAATATACGCCTATCCCAACAGCCAGGCTCTTCTTTGATCACATCTTTAAACTTCACAGATTACCTAAATCTATTGCTAGAGATCAAGATGTTTTTACTAGTCTATTCTGGTAAGAACATTTTCAACTTTGTGGGAATAAACCTGCCTTCAGTTTAGCCTATCATCCTCAATCAGAAAGTCAAACCGAGTTTATTAATAGGATGATGGAAATGTACCTCCATTATTTCACAAGTGATCATCCGACAAAGCAAGTTCAATTGATTTCCTGGGCAAGGTATGCTTATAAAATAGGGTATCATTCCTCTTTAAAGGCTACTCCTTTTGAGGCTGTATATGGGAGACTGGGGCACTGGTCCTCTCTTATTGTCCGGGTCTTTCCAAGTTGGAATCTGTTGATTGTCAATTCAATGACCATGACGAGGTATTAAATGTTTTACGCTCTTAGTTGTTGCAAGCTAAACAATGGATGAAACAAATCAATGACAATAGCCACTTGGAAGTGATCTTTTAGGTAGGTGACTTGGTTCTTCTGAAGCTTCAGCCTTATAGATATATGTCACTTTGTAATCAAAGCGTGTAAAAGCTGTCTCCCCAATTTTATAGGCCTTTCAAGCCAATACAAAGCATTGGTAAAGTAGCTTACAAGTTGGATTTGCCATCAACAACCAAGTCGCATCCAATTTTCCATGTTTCTTCTCTCGAGGCTTTTCATGGACAGCATGGTGTGTCACCCACTCTCCCTATTGTTCATCAAGGAGTTCCTCATCGACAACCTCACACTCAGTTGGCTTCAAGGACTCATAATGGACAGCATGAGGTTCTGATTCACTGGGAGGGTCTTTCTTCTCCGAATGCTTCTTCGGAGCTTGCCAATCACATGAAGCTACATTATTCTCACTTTGGACAAGTGCGAATTCAAGCGGGGAAGTAATGTTAGGAACAAAATAGTTCCTTATCCATAGGTTTACCAAAGAAAAAAATAAAAATAAAAATCTGGTGTAACTTCCTGTGTATGTGTGTTAATATTTATTGTTAATAACTAAGTGTATTAAAATAAGTGTTAAGATTTGTATTAGGGTAAGAAATAAGTCTGTCATCAGACAAGAACTGTATAGTAATGATTTAAGTGTGTTAAAATAAGTGTTTATCATGTACTAGGGTAAAAATAAGGTTGTTATAAGATAAGAGCAGTTTAGGCAAACGGGGAAATTTTAATTCCAGAATTAATTGCTTCCTCTCTTGTGCATAACCTGTGCTGTGGATGAAGACAACATCATGAGATGAAATTGATATTAACAAAGAGTACATTTTACTCTAGGGATCATAAGGTTCTCTCAATTCAACGAGTCATAATTATCTATCTTTATTTCGGAAAATAAAGAAACACAAAAAATCAAAAAAGAAAGTAAATATACCTACTGATTTTGTTGTTAGTGGCCCCACAAAAAGATCTATTAGTAGAGACCATCACAAATTTCAAAACAAAAATCAAAATATGCAGAGGAAAAATATAATTGTGCAGAGAGACTACTGAATTCTACAAAGAAAACCCTTCGCGTCGAGGGAAAAGCCAAAAGGGGAAATAAAGTATGTCCATTTTAAACAGTGAGTACAGAAATATTTCTCAAGTTCAATTTCTAACTCGACCAAAACAATTTCTCACTATAACATTCTGGAACCCCATATTGTTCTGCACCCTCCTTTGCTCAATATAACAATGGCCATCAGGCAAGCCAACATAAGAGCAAGGACCAGTTGTGAATGTTTTTCATCTTAAAATGGCCATCTTTCAAGCTTGTGATGGATGCCAAAACACATAGAATCACCTACATTTCATAATGTACTTCTCACAGTAATCAGGATATAAGTCAATGGACCGACCATAAGCTGCAATTGTATGTTCTTGTCTTCAAAGGGGAAAAATGAGGTTGAACGATGTTAGAGTCAGTCACAGCTGTACATATAGACTTACTTTTCATTGCAAGTCAAAGTGGCAGGTGCATATCCTCATCTCTAAAGATAGTACACCATCATGGTCCACAAACCATTTTCAATGTAAAATACTGACCTATGATGATGACAATCTAAGGAAAGCATGTTTGCTTACCAGACTCTAAACAGAATTTCTAAAGTAGAACTAAGTGACAAATTTCTTAAAGATTAGAATTGAAACAACCAGATAGAACCTTAACAGTTGGCCATGCTTTTCTTAGTATCCTATCTTGATGCCTCTTCTTTGTATTCCTACAGAATAAGTATGAAGTTTATGACTCTTCTTCTTCATTTTTTTCCCATTCAAGGACGTGAAACTTTCTTGAATGTAATGCATTCCTTGAAAGTTGCTTATGGTAGCATAGGAAACTGTATAATTTACAAACTAATAAACTAACCTTATGGTGACTGAAAGTGCCTAAGGCCTGAAAACTTATGTACTCATGTAGTATTTAACCATGTTATTGTTGAAAGCAGAAATCATTTTCTGCTTACTTTCCTTTCCTTTTCAAGTCAAACACCAAAAAACAGAGCATAAGCCGTATAAGGGGGAAAGCCATTTATATGAAAAACGAAGTAACCTTCCAGGGAGGCTTTAAGAGGCTGAATAAACTCCGGGAACTCCATTTCTTCAAGTGCTTTGAACACATCGTTGGCATTGATCGTTTGCCTCCTCGTTTCCTTACATATGTCGTTAGCCCTGCGCTTCCATTCCGTCAACCAACGGTAATTACAAGAATACCCAAATTTCTAGAACTTATGTTCACTAATAAACCCTAATTTCAAACTTTTCCCAGATTCAAATCTTTTTATACCTTAACTTGCTAATTTCGTTAGCACGAAAAAGAAAATTCAAGATATATTAAGAGGTTACTTACGTTGCAGAAAGATAGTGGATGAAAATGCGAGCGCTCTCGGCGAAAGCCATGGAGGCTTCCTTATGAACGTGAATATCGTAGTCCGGGGAGCACTCCGATAACTTATCCTTCACTATCCTGCGCACGATAGCCTTCGGCAGCTCCTCCGTCTCTGCAACAGGTTTCTCCATTTCACTTCTCAAATTTTCTGCTAGAACTTCTCAAATTTTCAAAACAGCACTGAGTCGGGGCAGTGGGTTTTGTTTTTCTGATTCATGGCGGCAAGGAAGGATGTTTCCGGCCGGTGATTTTAGGCTCATACACTCTTTAATTACGTGAGGGTTATATAATCCTACAAGGTAATTTTAGATTAACAGCGGTTATTTATTTCAATTTTAATTTTTAACCTGTCTAAATTCTTTTATAATGCATTATATTCATAAAAGTTTCATTTACATTATTAAATTGCCACCATATTGTTCGAATCTCAAGAGAGAGAGAATGACGCTTTGGAAGTTAGATATTTGAAAAAAAATAAAAAATTATAAAAATAAACTTAATTTTGAAAATGTGTTTTTTCAAAGTTATTCAAGTTACCATATCGTTTAGAGGAATATAAATGGATCTTTCAAAGTGCGAGGAATTAGAGATCAATATCACATAAGATTAACCAAAAAAAAAATTGAAGAATTCTTCCCAAAGCTTCACTTTATGAATAGGTTCATTCTCACCTTATCATAGCTTGTGTTTCAGTATTCATATTGTTCACGAAAAGCTTTCAAAGTAATATTAACACAATAAGAAAATGATGAGGTAGAATATATAAATAACTAGTATAGTGAGAATTTGCTCATAAATGAGTTAAAATAAATAAGTAATTTTACATACAAAGAAGTTTGGACATTGTTCTCAAAGATATAAAGTGTTAGTGTTTTCATGACATATTCATATTCGTCTCTCCATCAATAGTAGAAAAATTGGCAAAATGGTGAATTCTACTCTAACATTCACATCATAAGACATCTCATCCACACTTGAGGTTGTAACTTGCTGCTTCTTCATGCATCCTACATATGAGTCATCATTGTTTGTCTAACGACCCGGAACTAGAAAGAAAATAAATTATAAATTGAATACGGAAGCGAAATAATAGCGTTAGGCTTTACATTTCTTACACAATAATTCAGAATAACCAATAAAGATACAAGAATTACCCTTTTAAAAAAATAACGAAAAATTAAAAACATAAATAGAAGGAAAACAACTGGACATCATATTCGCAACCCTCTTATGGATCGGGATTTGGATCTTGGTCTTTTTGATCTGAAATGATTAATGAAAGAGTGAGCTACACTAGTCCAGTAAGAATGTCATACTATTCATCGATACAGAAATGAATGTTGGTAAAAATCATGAAAATAACTAATGAAACCCTTAATTTAAGTAAATTCATTTATCATAAATAAAATTATTATTGTACACTTACCGTAGCGAAATTTTTAAAACTGACCTATAGAGGTAATAGTACAAGCAATATCATAATCTCATATTCCATTAACCAGAACAACAATTTATCTACCTACTGGTATCTATGGAAGTCCATAGGGATGTCTTCACTATGCGTAAACCTTTATTCAACATTGTATATAATCGGCCGTCTCTATACCCCATCCGGTATGAGCGCAAAAAATATCATCCATCAATACCCCGTCTGGTATGAGGGTGAAACGGGTCATCCCCATACCTCGTCCGGTATGAGCGCCAAAATACCAATCCTTGATACCCCATCCGGTATGAGGCAACGTTCACAGTAGGGTTCTCTATGCACCCAGTTAGTCTACCATCTCCTAAGATATCCAGTAAGGCTATCATTCATTCATTCACTTAATCAAACAATTCTCCGTTTATATTTAATTTCTAGCTTTACAATTTAACTGTAAATCATGCAAAATAAATAATACATGCATCAAGTAAACACAACTGAATCATCTTACCAATTCCAGCGTATTATTATGCATTTAAAATTATAAAATCAATCAATAAGTTGAAACAGGATAAACAGTGATAAATAACCGATTCCGGCTCCATTAGTAACATGTGATTAATTATCGAGATTTTTTAAATTATACAAAATACCACATTATTTATAATTAAACTTCAATTCCATAACAAAGAATAGGGTGAAAGATTCTTACTCGAATCGGTGTCCGAACATAAAACTTTAAGCTGTGCCTACTAATAGTCTACGGGTTCCCTAAATTTTTTTTCGAAAATTAAAACACGCTCCAAATACATAGAAATATCCAAAAAAATCTAAAATCGATGTTAAAAACCTTTTTCAGCCAATTTCGGGATTCCGACACGGCGGCACCGTCATGCTCCGGCAACGGCACTGCCACCCACGGTGGTAGTTTGCCTCAGACTGGCTGTTTTTGGCTAGTTTTGACCGATCTCTTTTGTACTCATTCTTGCGAGAAAATATGTTAAGGGGCATCGGTTGGGGGAAAAATTTGAAAAACAGAAGCTTATTAGCGGCGGAGGTTTTTGGTCTGCGGCTCTGCCGGCTTACCTTCACAGTTGGACATTTTTCTTCGGTTAACCTGTAGAAAACAGAATGGTGAATATAATGGTGGAAAAATCGCACGAAACGGGAGTCGAGAAGGGCCTCATCGAATGCAGTTTTTGATTTTTTTCGCGAAGTCGCCGCTGGGCTTTATCTGCGGTTTTCAACTCATCCGCCAGTCCTTTTGTTCTGATTTGGCTATAAGGGTATTCAAAATCAAATTTCAAGCGAATGGAGAAAATTTTTATCTTTTAAGCGGTCAGAGGTGGCTTCAGCGTAGCGGTGGGTGGCGGTCGTCTCCCTTCTTCGGTGACTGGTTCTTCTTCTCCAGTGAGGGGCTAGCGGCTAGGGTTAGGGTTCGATGTGAAGTGAGGTATTTATATCTATCTTCCTTTAATCTAAACCATCCATCGCGTTTGATCTCGACCGTCTGATCGCGTTTGAATAGAAAATTAATATGATTCATTCATCGTGATTTGATCTAGACCGTACGATCGCCTCTGAGGAGGGAACACATCCTAACCGTCCACGTGTGTGGGAACAAATCCGGATCGTTCGATCGCGAGCATGCAGATTGCCAATGTGACTTCCTGTGCAGCACCGACTAAGTGTGCCTTGCCACGCAGCACACTCTAGTTCATCGGGGCTGCTGATTAGGCAGTCCTACGTGGCACATTTTTTCTATATTATGTTTGACCACAATTTCTAATTTTTCTTTTAAAAACACCCTCAAAAACCAAATTTTCCCCAATTTTTCTCAAAATTATTTTCAATTTCATTATTCACCTATTTTTTTCTAATTTTTACATTAAATAAAAAATTCATAAATTTTAAAATTATATTTTATACATTAATTTAAAATTTTTTAAAATTAATTACGGGTATTATAGTTTGTGGAGTAATTTGCAACCCTATTATGGGTAAAAAATGAATCTATAATGTAATATCAAAACTCAAAATTTGGTGCGAAATTAATTTTAACATTTTAAATATATAAAAAATTATTTTTAAATTAATTTATTTTAATTTTCTCTTGAATTTATGAAAAAAATAGGTAAGGGATGAAATTAAAGACAATTTTGAAAAAAAATGAGTGAAAATTTGGGTTCGATAAACGTTTTTTAAAGAAAAATTAGAAATTAGGGGTCAGAGTGCAAATAAAAAAATTTTACCACGTAGAACTGCCCAATTAGCATCCCCGACGAACCGGAGCACGTCGCGTAGCAAGACACGCTGACGTCGATGCCACGCGAGCAATCCACGTATCTCGTGACCAAACGACCCAGGATTGATCCTGTGCGCGTGGATGATCTAGATTTGTTCTCCCTTTAAATGCGATCAGATGGTCGAGATCAAATCGTGATGAATGGTTCAGATTTATTTCTTTTTTAAATGCGATCGGAAGGTCGAGATCAAATATAACGCATCATGGGTATAAATATTTTGCATCACCCTAAACCCAAACCTTAGTCACCAGCCTCCCACCGGGATAAGAATAACCAGTTGCTGGAGAAGGGAGCCGACCGCCGACCGCCACCGCACCGGAGCCACCTTCGACCGCTAAAAAAGGTAAAAATTCTCCTATCCACTCGAAATTTGATTCCGAGCACCCTTATGGCCAAATCGGAGTAAAAAGAACGGTGAGTGAGCCGAAAATCGTGGGCAAAGCCCAACGGTGCTACTATTGGCAAAACCCATAACCTCCTCTGATGAGCCCCTTCTCGTTTATCAGTTCGTGTGATTTTTTTATCGTTGTGTTCACCGTTCTGTTTTTTACAGGTTGATCGAAGAAAAACTCTCAGCTGCGAAGATGAGCCAATAGAGCTGTTGTATCCGAAAAACTCCATTGCCGGTAGGTTTCCGTTTTTTGATTTTTTCAACCAACCAAAGTCCCCTTACATATTTTTTTCGCAGGGAGACGTATAAAACCGGCCGAAAATAGCTAAGCTAAGACAAACTGCTGCCGCAGGCGGTGGTGTCGTCGCCAGAACATGGTGGTGTCGCTGTGTCGGAACCCTGAAATTGGTCGTAAAGCATTTTTTTACTGATTTTGGATTCCTATAGTATTTTTAGGTACATGATAAATGTTTTGGATTCCACATGGATAATTCAAGAAATCTGGGGACCGTTAGTAGGCGCAGTAGAAAGTTCAGTGCTCCGGACACCACTTTGTGTAAGGATCCCTTACTTTTTTCTCCATTACGGCAAATTGAAGCTTAATAATTAATAATTGTGTATTTTTTTAGAGAACCCAAAAAATAATTACAGGTCACTAGTGGAGTTGGAACCAATTAGTTCATAGTCATTTTGATTTCCTATTTATTTTCCTATATTGCCTATATTTGTTTACTATTATACTGTGCGTAACTCAATTAATGGTTTTTTGGGTCTCTTTTGGTTATTTCATTATTTGTTTCCCCTGCATTGCATGTCAGTATCCCGGCCATTGGTTATTGGGTAGTGTGAAACTATATTATTTTTTAAGTGAACGGTGAGTATAAAATGGAATATAGTTATTGCAAGGTTAATCATTATGCTGATAGAAATTTGTATAGAAAAGACTTACTAGGTACCCGGGAAAGAGTGGACGGACTCAGTATATAGGGAACCCTACTATAAACATTACCTCAGTTAGATAAAGCTAGGAAGTCCTTTACTAGGAAGTTTGAGAGATATGGTTCACCCTCATACAGGACATGGTATCGAGGTGGTGGCATATTTGGCGCCTATACCGGACAAAATATGGGGACGACTGGTTAACTATT